CACGACAGGAAAGTTTTACACTTAAAGTTCTTAACCAGGAGAAAGTCCTCTTCGTTCTTTGGACAACATTAGTCGTGCAATTTAGTGCAAACTTTTGTGATTTCTTCTCCCTCGTCTTCATCATGTCACTTTCGGATGAGAGGAGAAAGTGAGGCTTTCTCTCCGCTATTAATTCGCCCTAGTCAATCCAATCCGGTCAGTTGGACCGTGTCCGAGTCGGGAAAGCGAAAGTGAGGACGGCCAGGTTTTGTCCTGGCTTTGTTTCTGTATTTTTATCATAACTTTTGCAACGGCAAGTCCTATTGTTTTAATCGTTTTTGGTAGTAGGCATCAATAAATAATCAGAAATTGAGTCAGTTCATGCGGATGGTTGTAACCCAGTAAATTCCGCAAAATTTTGGCAACCTTGGAAAGTTAACATTTTTGCTGTGTGAAGAATGAACAAAAAATATATGTTTAAAAATTCTCGGACGATAGTTTACCAATCTCCGGTAAAAATAGGCATTTGTAAATTGTAGATTATTTTTAATGACGTGAAGAGCTTGCAAAATTACAGTTATTACAAAAAATTGTACAATGAACAGAAAAAACTTATTTCAAAACTAACAGAGCAAAAAGTTAACCCATCTCCGTTCAAAATGTTAATTTATACATTCTCGATTATTTCTAGTGGCGTGAAGGACTAGCAAAATTCTAAATTTGCTCCTCAAGATTCCAAAAGGTACTAAATTACTTCGCAAATCTTAAGCAAAGTGCAAAAATTTCAATGAAAAGTTAGGTTAATGTGAGATAAAGTTATATGTGCATATTTACGTATGTACCAAAGATATATTGCTATTTAAATACTAACGGTTACAACTGTTTGTTTAAAAGTAATATGTTGTAAAGATTAAATGGCAAAAGTTGCGGATTTTCGTTAAAAACCTTTCAGATTTTTTACTGCATATTAATTTTTAATGAATAGTAAGTAATGTTATGCAGTTTACAAGTCCGCTCTAAATAAAGTTGACAAAGAAATTTATCTAACGGTTGGGTAAATTTTACCAAATTATTGTCTCATCCTCTATTTTACTCTTCATTGAGAAAATTTTACGTAACTTTATGTAGAGTGTTCTTCAAAGTGTCAAATAAACAGATGAAATATATAAGAGGTTAAATGTACAGAGAATAACGTGACCTACTCACCAAAACTTTGTCTCGTTCTCATTTTCAAACCGTAATAAAAGCAGCCAAACCCGGAAATCTGTCACTTTTTCTTGAAAGTTTTGTCCGAAATGAGTTGGACGAAGGGTTGTAAAAGACAACAAAGTTTTCATTGAGACCTTTTTCCCATTGTTTCAATCTTCTGAACCGTATGAGATTTCCTGTTTCGTTGTCTTTGTTCTAGTCTCGAGGGTGCCCTGCATTACGAACGTGACCCTTCGTATGATGCTAACATTGTAAATATGTAAGTACGTAATGTGATAGTTATCTGTTACCGGCCGGTATAATCGGACTAGGCCAATTTGGTAATAACATGTGATATCCATCTACTCTACGTCGCTTTAATTCTTGTGAGATTTGTGTATCAGAATTTTGAATACAAATTTCTCAGATAAAATTTTTTGTAAAAAAAATTGTGTCGGAAAGTGAAACATTGTGATTTTTCAAATATAAATAATCAACTACCAACAGTTTACTCATCTGCTAGCGTAAAAAAAGTATTAATACTTCACAGTTTTCTCAAGTCGGCGTTGAAATAAGGAAAAACAAAATTATATGAAATTTGGATACTATTCAATTCATGTTCTTTGACGGATTGAAATCTAGTGGACGAAATTGAATATTCTTTGTACAAATGCTGATAGCAGTAAAAAGTGTATTATTTGTTTTTACCAATATACATATGTAGGCTGAAAATAAAATTTTAACAAGAAACATTTTATAATACTCTCAAATTAATGGAAATTTCCGGAATTTAAGTCGGAATATTTATTTATACTCAAATAGATATTTATGTATGGTCGTAAAATCTGTATGTAAAGTTGAACTTGTAATGCCAATTTGATATTTTTGTCTTATAACAATATTCAAATTTTTACCCGCACGTGCCAATAATATAGTTTTTTTTATTGAATTGTTTACGTATGTTAAATGCAAGATATCCATTTCCTTCCTGCCACAAAAAATAAATATTGTCGACAGACGCCAAACTTGGCGCCATTCTTTACGCATGTCCCCTTGCCTTCGTCAAAGCTTCTCTGTCCTTGCTTTTCTACGAATTCTTTTGGTTTTTGACCCTGCTTACCACACACTGAAACAATACACGGACGAGTTTGTGAAATAAAAATGGGTCTTCGGTACGATAGCGGTTGTTAATTAAGGCGACACTTAAGGCAGACCTTAGTAGCAAAGCTATGAAGATTTGCCTTAAATCGTGGTACAAGCTCTTGTACAGTTTGTAAAATAAATTACACAATCAAGTTTCAAAATATCCGAGAGTGATATACTTATCATGGATTTTCTGCCTATTATTTAATGCCGTACTTCTGCAAAAAGGTAAAAATGCTTTAAAAATCAGTGTAATTTTAAACTTCGACAAATTATGGCTAATTAAAATGCATGCCAATAATTGGCAATTATTGACAATTTTGTGATAATCACTTTCAAAAATTATGTTAACCCGTTAGTTTGCTGCATTTTCGGGGCTTACTTTAAATCTAACGCTAACTAAATTTGTACGATAAGTAAAAAATTATGTTAAAATTTGTAAAGAAATGTTTTCTGCAATGTGTATAACCTAGATAACATTGTCAAAAAAGTTACTTATTTCACTGACAAAGTTTTTACATTGAATTCAAATAAAAAATGTAATGTAATACTTAATTGACATTTGTAAAAGATTTAAAGTATCAAATATAGTTTAAATACGTAGATAATGGGTGTTCCTTGTGTGGCTGATGTATTTAGTATCTAATCTTAAAGTGCATATCTCATATCTCAAGGAATAAACTAAAGACGATACAAGTATCGATAAGCTTTTTTCCAAATCTGCCTCTGCCTGGAAAAATTCAAAAATTGTCTCACTCCACGACACATATTGTTCCAAATAATATGCATCTCGTGTCACATATTGGTTTTTGGTCTCGTTTTATTTTATGTTTCCGCCGAGTCGATGCGAAAATTCATAATGGGAGAAAGGTTACTCGGCTGCTTCCCGTGGTACATGAAATATGAGCCAGATGAGATAAGTGGATTGGATTATTGACGATGTGGATCTCGCCGCAGCATATTTTGGGTCTTGCTTTATTATTATTCCGACAAAACCGAGCCACCAGTTCGCATCGCAAGATTAGTTAGTAGGCCTTTTCTTCCTCCTCCTGCTGCTTGTTGGTTTGGTGCAGGATGAGAAAAGTGGCAGCTTTTCCAGCACAAACATTAATCTTGTCTCGTTGTTCAAAACGTCCAAATCACGGGAGAGATTTTTACCCTGACCAATAATTCAACCAACGCTCTCGTGCTGTGCAAAATTCCGGATAGATTTTATTGAAACAAGTCCCGAATCCGGGAGGACACTCTCAAAAATGTGGGAACAGTTTTTGTTGATTGTGGGTGCGTGTGACGAGGCAAAAGTGATTGAGATGTTGGTATGAAATTTATGAAACAAGAACCAAATTTCTGTGAAATTGTGCAAAATAAATTTGTTACTAAATTTTTCTAGTGTAGAATAAATTCTGATAAATTGTAAATTCGAATATATAAATCGTGATCCGAGTTTCGCATTGACAAAATGGGTTAAAAGTTAGTTCGAAATATTTTTAAATAAATTAGTGAGGTTTGCAGAAAAAATTGTGAAAACTAAATTTATACTCAAAATCTGCAATTGCCAAAAAATTGTCGAAACTGTTCTCGCAAAATTACATATGTTGGTACCTACAAATTGTTGACAAAATGGTAACATTTTCCATATGAAACTCATTGAAAGAAGATGATCATTTCTTATCTGTTTGCCATAAAATAATAGCAAAGATCAAATTTCTAAGAGTAGCAACACCCGGGTTTTCCAGACCCTCGCAAATCTCTCGTACAGGCAGGAAGGAAGGAAGTGGTTCTTCTCTCCTCCACTTGCTTTTCATACTTCAAAACCAACACAATGTTCTGATCACTATCAATCCACTTTATACCTCCTGATAAAAACCAACAAGAGCACCCATTTCACGGACCCGGCAGAAAGCATGTCATCCATTCAGAGGCAAACTTTTTCTGTTTGTCAAGAGAAAAAGTTTGTGCAATTAAAATTCCAAAAATTAGAAATTTTCGAAGTTTTGATTTGTAGTAACAACTACAGATGGAGAAATGATTTTCTATTAGGTCGAAATGACACAATTAAGAAATCGAATATTTATTTTATTTTAAGTCAAGTCAAGTAAACCTTTATTAATTTTACATGGCGAAATTGGCGACATAATTCCCACCTAAAAAACTATCGCATCATTCACGCACGTCCCCCAGAAGAGAAAGTTGCGTGCTAAAAGTTCATCTTGATGCGAAATAAGTGGCCTCGTAGTCACAATATGAATCTCTTCTTTTCTCTCCGTATCAAAAGGATGGGACGCGTAGATAACGTAACATAAAGGGAAAAGTAATACGCCAGATTTTTTACAGGATTTTTTACTTGGGTTTCCTCTCCTCTGTCATAAATAAATTTGGCGAGATAAAAAAATGCAAAATATGAGCCGTGTCATATTTATTTTCTGAAACAAGGGCAAAAAGTGGCAATAAATTAGTGCATAAAAGCGATGAAGTGACTCACTCTAAATAATTGTGGTCGCATTGATAACAATTTTTTACGGCTAAAACTTTACGAAGGAAATTAATTCTAGCCTTATAGAAAATTTTAATTTAATTGTTACCGATCAATCAAAATGTTACAAATTGGTCAAAATTTTTGGCACTGAAATTTGCTAAAATTTGCAAAAAAATGCAATATATTCATGTTCATTTTCTTTCATTTTTTACAGAAAATCTGGAAATTGGATACTTGCTCCAAAGCAATCATTGGATCCTTCGCTAAACCAAAGCTGTGTCAAAGTTAAAGTGATTTTCCTCTAAAAGAAATATCCATTTGCTTCATAAACACGCAAATTGTTGGATTCTCTTTGAAGTGAAGAAAACCAAACTCAAGTCATCGGTCTGTCGCTGTCACATTTATCCATGAAAGATGACGTTTGTTGCACCAATAAATAAATCAGAGTGAAATTTTAATCGTGAAAAAACCACAAGCTTCCCAAATACGAAATCTCTCCCGTTACAGACTCGACCGGATTCAAAGGATAAAACGAAATGTGATGTGTTGTGATGTCAGCGAGGATTTGAATTCAAATAGAAATCAAGAACACAATGGTCGTTTCAGAGAGGAAAATATTGTGCTAGAATCATTTTCGGATGAATAAAATTGAACCTCGCGGACAATTATTATGCAAAAAATTCGTTACGAACGGATGATATTCGTATAATGCCGAAAGTGTTTAAATTTCTTCGCCAAATTCAGTTTAAGCCGTGCAAATTTTAAAACTTCGCAAAAAATGATGATGATTACGAAGTCGGTCCATTTAAAGAGAACAATTTACCACTGCATATTTTTTACCTGAGTGAATAGCAGCCTGAAAAATATTATTTTCGTCAAAATGGCGAAATGTTTCGGCGTTTTCGCCTTCATGGTCGTCCTGTTTGTAACCACGATTCGTGGGGAAATTGTGTGTCCGGCATATCAAGAAATCCCATTTTGCTCCTGTTTCGTGCTAGACGACCAATTGCACATTCAGTGCAGCGGGAGTGACATTCCCGCTCTGAAAAAATCCCTCCAAGTTTTAAACGGCCCGGTGAAATCGTACAGTGTGTACGATTTGGATTCCCGCGCGGCTATTTTGCCCGATGGAGTTACGGACAATGTCACGTCGCCGGTGTATCACTTGCAGGTAAGCAATTCCCCAGGAAATAATCATCCGAAATTCGCTTTTTCATGCCTCATTCGAACTTATCAGTTCCCGACCAAGTAAATGACCTTAACAAACTTCGTCGGTAATCCTTTTTCCACGAAACGTTATTTTTTCCAAACTCCAAACTATGTTAAAATTTACAATTTTTCGATGGTGATACTCACGTCAACGTCATGTTTTTACGTACGACAAATTACTTGCCGGATAATTCCAATAAATTAAAACCACACCAATTTCAAAAGAAAGAGCTTAAAAATATTTCCAAAAATCAGATTGAAGTTTATTATCGTGTACATTTAACTGTTCCACAATTTTAAAACGACTTTAAAGTTTATGCTCGATGACGCTCTACATATTTATTCCTGACTAAATTTTCTGAATTTGAAGCATACAAAATGTAATGCAATTTTGGCAGGCTGTGGATTTCTACGCATTTCTGTAGTGCAACGTTACACTTAAAAAATTGCTTAAGATTAAATGGTTTCAGAAATTCTATATCAATTTTTATCCACAGTGAAACCAGAATGCTAATTTGTTTTACAAATTTATTGCAATTAATAATTTATCTCAAAATGAAAAATTAGTCCGACTACCACCAAATATGTGACCTACCTTATAATCATAAATTACAAAATATTTGCTAAATTCTTTTATGGCGTGAATACCAAACTAAAAAATTATTAAATTTCAATTACACCCAGCACGAACGAATAAAGCTTAATTAATGCCGCTGTATGTCACGCTACATATTTATTTCTGACTAGTTCTGAATATGAATGAAGCATACAAAATGCAACTGCAACTATGTATGTTTGGCAGGCCATGGATTTCTGTATTGCACAACGGTATTCTCGAAATTGCTTAACCATCAACAGTTTGTGAACTTCAGTGTTTATTTTTATCCACAGAGAAACAAGTATCGTAATTTGTATTTGTTTTTGCCAAAATGATTGGAATTCATAATTTATCTCAAAATTGGAATTAAGATTTGTATATTGCTTACTATTTAATCTTACCTTACATTAAATCAAATACTATTTCCTAAATTGTGTTGTGGCGTGAATATCCAGCAAAAATTATTAAATTTCAATTAAACCCAACATAAACGAATTACATAAGCTTAACGTTGAGTACTTGCGTCTCCCTCGGTGGTTTATGTGTCCTCTTCACGTGGCATATTTGTCAGTGACATTGTCACCCATCCCAACTGTCCAAATATATATTAATATCTTGTCCCTAAGAACTAGGGAATTTTTTCCCCGTGTGACACGACACGACTCCTGCCATATGTTCAGATCGAAGTGAAACAGAGACGAAAATATTGATGTACGCGAAGCAAGTTGATGCAATCCAGGTCGCTTAATTTGGGGGGACGTCCATAAAGGATGCGGTTATGGTTGCACTTTTAGAGATTTTATCCATGCAACTTTCCCACGTGAGGAGGCAAACATATGCAAGTTGCCATGTTCTTTTGTGGTCTAAAAGTAGTTTGAAGTTTCTACACAATTTTGTAATTTTGAAATTGTTTATAATTTTTGCAAATTTAAATATTTTGTCATTTGTAATATTTGTTTTGTCATACAAATTTTGAATTTTGTAATAGTTGTTCACGATTTTACCTTGGCCCTGTTTCATTAGTGCAATAGTTTCAAGTACAGGAATTCTACTCCACTTTTGTCACGTCAAATTTGTTTACCAAAATCTGCGAAGCCCTCAAGAAGAGGGAGCACGTCCTCCTGCACGACCCTTTTTTCCTGGGAAAGCTGTCGTCTTTTATCGCACTAAAAAATCCTCGATTTCTGTCATGTTGTCTCCGAAATGTTGTCAGAGGTGACAATAAGCTCCGCACTAATGCATTCTTTGTCCATCCACTTTCTCTCTCGTGGATCAGACCAGACTCCAATTATTATTTCCTCCATCATCCGCTTACTCTCCTCAGATCCGGAATTCTACATTGGGCAGAGTCACGTCAATAAACCTGACAAAATATTTTTATACATGAAAAAGTATTGCATCTTGCAAGTGGAAACTTTTTTGCCACAGGATTTCCAGAAATTTTACAAATTTGCGAGCTATTCACGTCGTTAGAAGAAAAAATGAATGTTGTGATATTATCTGTGTACGTAGATGTTTTTTCGATACTGGCTGGACAGAATAAATTAACATACTCAGGTAGAAAAACTCGTTTCCTTTTTTACCCAGAAAAAAATCAAGGATCCCTCCAAAGTTTCTCAATTCGCAATATTTGTCTTGAATTCGTCATCCTTTTCATGAATGAGTGCAATGTGCAAATTTTACAAAAATATTATAACAAATAAATAAATACCTAGATCTTCGGATATGTTTCACTTAATAAAATATGTGTGACCTTATTTTCAATGAGGTAGCAAAATTATGGAAACGCTTATAAGTTTCAAGACGTAAACTGCCGCAATCTCTCTCAATCAGAAATAAAATAAAATAAAACTTTGACGTGAGTGCCCCTCTTGTACTTTTTATTACGGAAAATTATTATCCGATCCACACCACCGACAACAAAAGATGAGGAGCATGTGACATATCCAGGAGAGAATTTGAGCTTTCTCTCTGAAGATGAACAGGTTTAGGCCGAACACGTGTGTGAGATGTGATGGAACTCGATTTATCATTATCTCCTCTCCCACACGGTGAATTACGCAAGTAAAAGCAAGACACTTTCATGTGAGGAAAAAATCGATAAATTGATTCTTCAAGTATGTAATGGAAAAAAATGTGAAATATTTTGCAGATATTCAAATTAGCATCAGGTGCTCAAAAGTGAAAATGTGATGGAGTCATGGAACGGAGAATATAAAATTTTCCGATTTGTAAATCAACCCAGAAAACTTCAGTTGTGTTAAAATTGTGCATGGATTACAGTACATTTTCTGTTTCCAGTAATTTCACGAATAAAAAATGTTGTATTTATTCATTTTAAAACAATTGAAGTTTTCTGGGTTGATTTTCAAATTAGAAAATTTTATATTGTTGTAATAAAAAAAATTTTAAATTTTATTACTGAAGAATATGAGCACCTGATTTAGTGGTCAAAGTTTATGTCTTGATGAAAATTTCTTATTGACGTCAAACCATGATTCAAACTAATTTTGACATGAAATTGAATAATCTGATGCATTTAATTCAAACAACGTTTCCTAACGTAACTATAAATCCTAATGTTACAAAGTTTAACAATTTTGTAAGAGGTAAGATTTGGTGTAGGGATCAAAGTGCATTTTCATTTTTTAAGTAATTTTGGTTACGCCCACAAATGTTACAAATTTTAATACAAGTTTTCTGGGTTGATATTTTTGCAAATAAAAAATAGGATATTTTTTTTGTTATAAAATTTAAACTTTTATTCACGCACATGCGACCTTATTCACAATTTAACATTTACATTTTGATGACAATTTCTTATTGACGTCAAACTTTGAATTTTCACGATTCAAACTAATTTTGACATAACATGATGCATTTAATTCAAACAACGTTCTGGAAATTATGATATTACAAAGTTCAACAATTTTTCAAGATGAAATTTGCTCGCAAATTTCTAAACTGCGCAAGTTATATAAAACTAGCGTATAAGCCCGTCTCCCGCCGGGCGAGCGAGATTTATAACCTGCAAATCTCTGCAACGGAAGTGAAAGGAAGGAATGTCAAGTTTCGAATGGAGCATAAACTCAAAATAGATTAAATCCAATAAAAAATTAAATGTCTGATGGTAGTTATCTTGGGCTGATTGTCTGATCGTGGTGATCTTGGGTGGTTGCCTGGCAGTTTGTCTGGCACCCCACTTGGCTTTGTCATCTCTGCCGGCCCAGTCTGCCAGTTGCACTGCCATTGCCATTGGCAGGTTGTCTGGCACCAAATTTGGCTCAGTCATCTCTGCCAGCCCAGTCTGCCAGTGGCAATGGCAATGGCACTTTGTCGGGCACCTCATTTGGCTTTGTCATCTCTGCCAGCCCAGTCTGCCAGTGGCAATGGCAGTGGCAATGGCACTTTGTCGGGCACCTCATTTGGCTTTGTCATCTCTGCCAGCCCAGTCTGTCAGTGGCAATGGCACTTTGTCGGGCACCTCATTTGGCTTTGTCATCTCTGTCGGCCCAGTCTGCCATTGGCAATGGCAGTGCCACTGGCAGGAAACGTGGCAGTGATCTAGTCCCCACACACAGGCTACCTGAAGCACTGCGATGGCAACGGCAATGGCAACGGAATCCAATAAGATAACCTCTCCAGATAACCACCAGAGGTGCCATCAATGGGCAGATACCCCACGATAACCACCATTAGGCCGCCACACCCCGATAACCACCATCAGGGCGCCACACCCCGATAACCACCATCAGGCCGCCACACCCCGATAACCAACATCAGGCCGCCACACCCCGATAACCACTATCAGGCCGCCACACCCCGATGACCATCAAGGAGCAACGCCCCGATAACCGCATATCATTAGGCAACTTATAACCACCACCAGGCCGCCACATTTTGATAACCACCACCGACCAATAACGACCCGATAACCCCCACCTTCTCACATTTATTTTTAAAATTAAAATTTTTGAATTTTCGCGCCATTTGAAATTTGACTTTCATCGCTTTCACTTCCGTCACGGAAAATTACTTTCACTTCCGTTGCAGACAGACATTTCCAGCTTATAAAATAGATGATGCAATTCAAATTGCATTAAAAATAAATAAAAACACGCCATCGGTCTCATCCAGTATGGATTTCAATCTGATTTGCATCATGCGCAATATTTTCAAGTATATTTAATTATTTATAAATGCCATGTTTAATTTGTGAGGTACGAATTTTATAGACATCAATGAACAAAAAAGGATTTTGCAAAACAAAATATTTTACAAACGTTTACGACCCGCGCAGGATCAGCGTTTATTTTCTTATCGTATTATTTGGTGTGTGTCTCAAAAAGGGAAAGTTTTTTCCGCTTGGTAGTAAATCTCTGAGTACATTTGTTTCCTCCATTATTTTACTTTAATGTTGTTTCCTGTCATTCACCTCCGATTTCCTGGCTTCGATCAGATTTCGGTTAGCCCAATAAATACAGTCCGCCTCTTGTTTCTGGATTGCCTTGACTTAACTTTTCGGTCCAAACTTGAATATAATTTTGTAAAAGCGGGATCAAATTCATGCCCCAGGTGGCATTTTCAGGTTAATTTTCCAGATATGAATTTATTTCAATGTTGGAAATCCTGCTCTAGAGAACTTGGTTCGAAAACCAATTGATGATCTGGATTGTAATAAAATTGTGATTTTCATATTAAAAAAGTCAGGGTGTAAATAAATAGCAACAAAATAATAAAGTAATGTAAACTGTGCAAACCAAGCAAAAATATTTTTTTACAATAACCTTTCGTTAAACAAGACAACAGTTGGTATCGTATACAACATTTGCCCCAGATATCGAAATTTTGAATAATTTTACAAAATTAAAGATTTCAAACCATGATTAGCTGAACCAAACATAAACTTGAAGACATGAAGAAACATGATCTATATACCAATAACATACAAAATAGTTAATTTTCAGGATAAACAGTGGCGTGAAAATATTACAATTTGTAAGTTTACGAATTTCACGGAGTTTATTGGGGTAAAAAATTTCTTTCATTCATAAACTACTTTTTCACCTCATGGCTAGAAATTTGAATTTCGTTGGCAAGTATTGTTACTGTTCGGGTAAAAATCGTCATGTCGAACGTAATTTTGATATAACATTTCTAAAAATGCACTCAATTCACCCGTTTGATCTTTAATTGACGTTTTATTCCTCATTAGTCGTACAAATTCCTTGCTGTGTACGAATAATTAATTACTTTTTACTTTTGCGAATTCTAGATATCGCACTCGTCACTGGAGGACTTGGCGGAGAACAGTTTGCGCGGCCTGTCGAAAAGTCTCGAGTCTCTGGCCATTGTTTCCAGTCGGCTAAAATTCATACCGCAAACCACGCTGTCGACGTTGCGACGATTGAAAATTCTCGACTTTGAAGGCAACCAAGTCCAGGAATTGGGACCTTACAGCTTCCACAATATTCTACTACAGAAGGTGATTATTTTACTACTTTCGTAAAATTTTGCCAATTTATTAATTTATTTAATACTGCTTTTTACGATTTTATTACTAGGAATGGGTAATCCGATCCGACGGATTGATCCGAGTATTTACTAAAGCATTGAACAATCCGATCCGATCCGATCCGACCATTTAAACTCGATCGGATTACCCATTCCTATTTATTACGTAATTTTCAGAATATTTTCACAACTTTAATTTCGGTACCAATTAAAAAATGAAAAATTATGGATAAAAATGGTTTTTACCAATTTTTATCTATTTTCCCTGCTATGAAAAAATTTTTATACATTTTTGCCGTTTCTTCACAATTTCTTGCAGAATTTCGTGCAATTTACCACTCGTGACAATTTACCACTCGTGACAATTTTTACTAAATTTTTTTAAGTGTGTTTTAGACATTACGTTTTGCACAAAATTTTGCGCACTTCTTCCACCCAAAAAATATGCTTTTTCTTTCTCCTACATTAATCCGAATTGACGTCCTTATCAGACATAAACCTCATTTCCGTTCCAATGTTCATTTCGCGTTATCAAAAGTATCGCATCATTTGGAGGAAGATTAAGGAATAAATCTGTAGATTTGGGTCATTATGTGTCCAAACCAAATGCGAATACTTTCCCAGCTTTGTTTAAACGATGGGAATTCTGAGGATTGGGATTTTTTCTACTGACACAGTTAGTTATTTGACAGCGTGGAGAAAGTATTTTCTGGGATGCAATGATTCAGAATTTTCATTGTTTTTATTTTATCCGCAAATTTATAGTTTTTAACTCTCACTCTCGTTTTTAACAATTTCAAGATGACAATACCTAAACTTATTTGTTTAATAATGAATTTTCATAACTAAAAACAAAATGACGCTTTAGTGGGACAAAATTATTTTTATTTCTGGTGGTAATTACTACAAACTAACTTTTGTAACTGCGTAAACTGTGATAAAGTAAAATTACGATCTACAAGTAACAATGCAGTGTCACCCTCCAATTTGGCTGAGATTGAAAAATTATGTGGTCCAAGTCAATACAAACAACGTTTCTTCAGGCAGTTTGCGAATACTTTCCCAGTTTTGTTTAAAGGATGGGAATTCTGAGAATTCGGATTTTTTTCTCACTGACGCTATTAGTTATTTGACAGCGTGGAGAAAATATTTTCCGGGGTGCAATGATTCGGAATTTTCATTGTTCTTATTTCATCCGCAAATTTATAGTTTTTAAATTTCACTCTCGATTTTTACCTTTCTTGGATGATATCTAATATTATTTATATAGTTATGAATTTTTATAAATAAAAAAAACGACATTTTAGTCGGACAAAATTGTTTAAACCTCTGGTCGTACCCCAGACTAACTTTTTTGTAACTTCGTAAACTGTGATCAAGTAAAGTTCAATGAGTTACAATGTTACGAAGTTATAAAGTTACGATCTTACCTAAAAATTTGAAAAAGTAAAACGAAACTTATAACTTAATAAAATATATTTTTTTAATCTACAATTTTTAAACACTTGAATCCTTTATTAAATTTTATTAATAAATCCTAATGAAACCTATCAAATTTCTAAATTGCAGCTCAACCTGAAAGGCAACCTGCTCGAGAACGTGTCCGAACACGCCTTCTGGGGCCTCGAGGAAACCCTCATGGACGTCGACATGTCTGAAAACAAATTGAAAACCGTTCCGTTTCCGGCCCTTCGTCGCCTCCACCTTCTCTCGTCCCTCTCCCTCGCCTGGAACGAGCTCACCGACCTCACCGCCCTTCTCCCCCCGACTCTTCCCCCACCTCCCCCCGCCGAACCTTCCCGCTCAAAAAAATCCGGCGCGTTCGACGTAATTCGAAATTCCCTCAAAGCAGGAACCCCGCCCAACAACCTGCTCCCCGCAAACAACGCGCCCCACCATCCGACCACCACTTCCATGGACTGGCCCCTCCTCAAATATCTCAACCTCAATTCAAACTACCTCCGCTCCCTGCATCGCGGGACGTTCAACTCGATGCGGAACCTTCGCACGGTTTCGATACACCTCAATTCTATCGAAGTGATAGATCCCGCCACATTCTTCCCGCTCGTCGAACTCGAATCTATCGACCTCTCTCACAACAAATTGTCCCTCCTGCCGTCCCCCACTTTTCAAGAAAACGTGAAACTCGTGTCCATCGATTTATCGAATAATCACCTTCACTCAATCGGCGAAGGATTGTTCCAAAACCTGTTCGAACTTCGAGAATTGTTCCTCAACGGGAATAACATAATTCAATTAACGTCCCCCACTTTTCTCGGGTCGCCCCAAATCTCTATCCTCTACTTGCAAGGAAACGCGGTAAAATATCTCGAATCGGGGATATTTTTCCCGCTCAAAAATTTAACGGAAGTCCGGCTAAGTGACAACTTTCTCCGCATTTTACCACAAGACGTCTTCCTGCGTAACGAACATCTCACTTCGGTCAGTTTGGATGGGAATTTGTTGGGTAAAGTTGTTCCCGGGACGTTTCAAACTTGCCGCGGGTTGAGGGAACTGAGACTACAGAATAACGAAATTACCACCATTCCCGCCGGTGTTTTGGAAGGTTTGGAAACCTTGGAGGAGGTTCACCTCGAAAATAATCGGCTGAATGGGATCAAAGGGTTGGATAATTTGAGGCGGATTAGGCACGTGACCCTGTCAAGAAACTCGTTTGAAAAAGTTACCGCCGACATGTTACCGGGAACGGAGTTGAGCTCGTTGAGTCTGGGGCATAATAATATTAAGGGGATTTCGGATGGCGCGTTTGCTAATCAGACGACATTGTCGCTGCTCTATTTGGGGAATAATCGTCTCACTCGGCTGGGTCAGAGAGGTAAGGAAAAGGATGAAATTAATCAGATTATGGGTCGAGATGCATGCAAAGCTTTCTCTTTTTTGAGGGAAAATGGTCTTTCTCTTTTTTTGGATTTTTTTGGATGATGTAATTTGGGAGAGGACAATTCTATTTGGTTTTAATGGGACGGGGAGGTAAAGGGAGCAGATGGAAAGGTTGCCAGACTGTGAAGAAGAGACAAAGGTTGCATAAACCTTTTTCATGTAGCTTTCACTAAAAATATATTTTAAAAAGTCACAATTTTCCAGACTTAAAATTTTGCTAATACAAAATCTTGTAATTTTTTTAGGAAAATATATTTCAAACGTGTAATGACAAACTGTATATAAATTTTTCGTATTTTACTAACGGCGTTGTCCTTTGCAAAATTATTTTTTTATACAAATTCACGCCCTGTTTCTTCATCAAACGATTCAAATCTACGATGTTTAAAATTCTGTTATATTTCATAATTTATGAATGGCGTGATACTTTGCAAAATAAGTAACGAATTCAAATCATAACCCTGCATAAAATTCGCTTTGTCTTTCCAAAAATTACTACGTCAAAGTTATTAGATAAGATCATTTTTAAGCTCCTCAAAAAATTCATGTAAATTGCAAGTAGATGTATGATGTTAACCACACATCTGTCACGCAACGTATTTTATTTTCTCTGAGAGAAATTTTCTCACCCAAATCTTTGTAATTTGGTAATAAACTATTACCGTCGAGGGATAAATTTCCAAGCATGTGCAATTTTGCAATAGATTTATAAGCTTATTTTCCTTCACAATCTATTTTGCTTGAGTTACATAAAAATTAATCGACAGTCAGTAAGTTGTGAGTTTACTAGGTTACAAAACTTCCATGGAAGTGCATTCTACTTACTTTTACCTCAAAAATCAAACCAAAAACCAAATTACCTCTTTCGCCCTATCATTTAGAGTGTCTCCATTCTTTCCGCTTCCCTTCAAACATATCAAAGATTACATAATTTCTAAAATCATGATCTTGCTTTCTCCCCAGCATTTTCCGGGCTTCGCTCCCTCGAGCGTCTCTACCTCCAGAGGAACAACATTTCGTGGATTCACGGCGACGCTTTCTCCTCGCAGACCAAAGCCCTTCAATACCTTGATTTGTCCTTCAACCAGCTCAAGACCATTAACCGCGCAATTTTCTCGGGTTTGGCATTTATTGAAGAGATAAATTTGTCCCATAACGATATCAGCACGTTGGAAGACGGCTCCTTCTCCAATCTCCGCTCCCTCAGAATCCTCGACCTCTCCACAAACAGGATACAATCGCTCCACTACGCGTCCACCTTTCATCCCGCGGGCTTGGAAATTCTGAAAATTTGCTGTAACACGTTGTCCGAGCTTTTAATCGGGATTCCCGCCACATCGTCGTCCTCGTCGCTATCAAGCGGGGAAAGCAGTAGTAGTCTCACCTCGCCCCGGTTTCAATCGCCTCCAATCGCCCTGAAAGAATTGGACCTGCAACAGAACGACCTGACCGGCTCGGTCGTCCGCCAATTGAACCTGGGAAGGCTCGAGGTGCTGCAAATTTCCGGAAATAACTTGACCGACATGGACGAAAATATGTTGGACGGATTTCCCTCGTTGAATTTCTTCTCGGCGGAAAAATCCCATATCACCTCGTTGCCCGGGAATGTCTTTAAATTGAACCTTAACTTGGCGGTGATAAGACTGAGTGATAACTTCATTAGTCACATACCCGATTCGGTTTTTATTCCGGCGGGGATTGGTGGGGGCCAGGCAGGGGTGGGGGTTTCTCCGTTGAGGGAGTTACATCTGAGGCACAATAGGCTGAGAGCGTTTCCGTACAAGGCGTTGGGAAATTCGACGCTTTTGGAGGTCCTGACCTTGTCGGGGAATCGGATCAACACGTTGGATCTGAACAGAATCATGCTGCCGAGGATTAAACAGTTGGATATGAATGATAACAGATTGACGAAAATTATGGGGGGAAGTATGACCAAGTCGATGCCCTTGTTGCAGGTGAGACTGAATAATATTGTAACATTTTGATTATTTTACAGTGAAATAAAATCCTCTACTCGTGTTATTAGTGATTTAAAATTAAAGAATTGTCAATACTATTTCATAAAAAATTCAAAATGCGTTCTAATATCTAGAAATTCATTTTATATTGATTTTATACATTTTCAGACTAAAGTTTTCAATTTTGCTAAGTAGTTACGCCACTAAAATCAAAATTAGCCTGTATGCAACAAAAATAATGACAGATTTGGTGAATCCATTAGATAATATCAGGTTACAATTTATCAGAGATGACTCCAAGTGACAATGATAAACACTACATCAACTTCAGAAATTTTCCAACAATTGTTAGAAATTTTTGAAAATGTAGATGTTCGCTGAAATAATTGTAACCATTACGTGGTAAAACCTCATCAGATGGTGATCATACGCAGCCACAAATTTGTTATCAACTTAATTTTTTTTAAGTCTGTAACGCATCTTTTCCCTCTCCAACAGGTCGTCGACTTTGGTGAAAACAACATCTCCCGCGTTTCCGACGACCTCGTCCGAAACGTTTCCCTCACCCAGATAAACTTCGGAGGCAATTCCCTCCAAAAAGTCCCCTTCGCATTTTCCGAACGGTTCGTAACGTCCGCCTTCGTCTTGAACATGAGCGGAAATCCTCTGATCAACTTTTACACGGAAAATCATCCCTCCCGCAACTTCTCCGTTATGGATTTATACTTGTGCGAAACGAACGTGAGTTTTTTGACGAGTGAGGAATTTAAAATTTACCCGCGCCTTCACCGCCTCGTGATTAAGCGGAATCCACTCACCCTCCTCCCGCCGGCGGGGTTTTCATCGCTGCAAAATCTGAACTTGCTGGACCTGAGTGAGAACGCGATTGAGGATTTAAAGCACGACTCCTTCATTGGATTAGTTACACTGAAGTCACTCAACCTCTCGCACAACTCGATCAAAACGCTGCAGCCCTTTCATCCCCATCTCGCAGGGCTTCAGGTAAGAAGAATATCATTCATTTCACATGTTTGAACTTTCAATCAGAGCCAGATTCCCCTCATTTGCTCAAAGTGTAAGAGTTGCATCATTCCGAGAGGGTCGTGCTTAAAGGACGTCACGATTTACACGAAATCGTTGTTGAGGGATTTGGAAATTTAAAAATTTGGATTATGAAATGGTAGCCTAAGTTGTACACCGCTAAGAAAAAGCTGTCTAACAGTGTGAAAAAGATAAGGTAGTTCAATTATGCGATGAGAAAAAATGAATTTGCACAAATTACTTTTCGCCAAAAACCGGAAATTGAGAAATTCGAAGATTTTAGTATTAGAATTAGAACTACATACTTTAACTTCATGTACATATAAACCATAGTTCTGAAATAATAATTTTGATGTAAGTTTTTAACACCGATTGATACAAATAAGGGATTTACAGAAGTGAAACAAAATTTAGGTTCATCAAATTTGTTTTTTTCTTCATAAATGTTTTGCATAGTTTTTGCATAGTCTCTATTCAGCCTTGGCCTTGGTCCAACTTCTAGATTATCAAGTCAAACAATGCGGTATTCTTCCCGCACGACCCCCATTTTCGAGTTACATCATACTCAATCATGCCTCCAAATCACGTTTTTCTTGAGGGAAAAAATTGCTGAAAGTGCAGTAATAAGAAATTATAAAAGTGCTCAAAGTTGAGGCCAGTGGTGAAAGTTGGGTTTCTGAGATGAAAAGATTTTTATATTTCTATTATATAAATTTCCACTAATCCTAAATTTCTAGTGGATTGCATGCACTAATAAATCTTCAGATTTCTTAAAAAACTGCTCAAAATATCACTTTCTCCTACCTAAATTTTTTATGTACAGAAATGAAATTACATGATGTAGGATTAGTTTTGATATTTATATTTATTGTATATTTCTACTAGTCACAAATTTCACGTGAATTACGATAAACTAATAAATCTACAAATTTGTTTTAAAAAATCCGAAAATATCACTTTCTCTTTCTCCCACCTAAACTAAATTTGTCACGAAATCGTAAGAGTAAAAAAAAGTGAAAGTGAGCCCGGAATCAGAAATCCTGCCCGAATTAGTGCCTCAGTCAGTCACCAAAATTATTAGAAATGTCACCCCTCCCAGAAACGTGGAGAAAAGTCCACATTTTATTCATTCTTCTCCACATCAAATTCAATTTTGAGTCAAACTCGGTTCATCTTGTGCTAAATGTAATCAAATCAATCCGTTCTGTAAAATTGTCACATAGCTGCCTCGTTAAATAACGGGCTGGGGTCGGGTCCTCGGCGTAACTAAAACCTCACGTTCGAAGGGAAGCCGACTGGCATAAAGATGTCACCAAACTTGCTTCTCAGTGAGTGCAGTTGTACCATTCTCACGGCATGCAACCAAATTTTGGGCATTTTGGGCATGGCAGAAATTCCCTTGGCATGAGGGAATGAATTGATGTCTATGTGTGGAACATGCCATAAATGTCCGCCCAGTGAGTACAATGGAGGTCTCCCAACGTATGCTCACAGATTTGGACCAAACTAGTGTCGAAATTGATACCAAAGTTTAGTTAGTATGATATTTGAAAAGGGCACTATCTGCAATTTGAATCAGAAGAAAAAGCGCAGTAAATTTGGAAAGTGAAAAATTTCTCAACTTTGGGGGGCTCTGTATCTTCTTTTTCTGCAAATATCTCCGCCAAACCTGCGCATTGGTAAATAGTGTCATTTCAAAATTTCATACTAATTAAATTTGTGATTGATTGACACTAGTTTGATTTAAATCTATGAACATACATTGGGAGACCTCCATTTGTTAGATTCATATCGTAGCCTGATTCTTCTTGCTGCGCAAAAAGATAACTTCCTACCTGTACGATAACAATTTTTTCTCGCAACCCTGGTAAATTATATCCATTGTAAAATTCGTATCTTTTGGGAAACCTTGAAAGCTTTTTAAATAAATACACAAGATGAATTACTTGTCTATTTTTCTCGTAAAATCATTTTCCCAGGGCCAGCTCATCTTTGCATGTGATTAAAAATGCTAAAAAATTGTATTTTTATAAATGGCATAGTTCCATTACACTGCAAAGATTTCGCATAAAATTGTCCAGATTTTTCGTACACTTTACAAAGTATTAGATATGTATTACAGGGTAAAAGTACATATATGAATTTACGGCTACTATCATTACTTAAGTCGTGATAATTGCACTACAATTTTAGTAGATGACGCAGCAAACAAATATTTGCGTACTTGTCTCGGTGCAAAATGTTTTTCATAAATATACTAAATATTTTAAAGAAACGCACAATAAGAGCATACAAAATTGGCTCGCGTTTTAATCCAAAAAGCATAAACAAGTGGATCTTCAGAACTTTTAAATACGATGAACTTTGCCAGTATAAATAGTTTATAAATAGTTTGCCCAAATTCTTTTTCACATTAGTAATCTGAATGTCTGTAAAAAAAATTGAAATCGCAAATTTTCCGGTACAATTCCATCAGTTAATAAAAATCTATTTGGTCAAGATAAAGTTAGCAGAATTTTCGCAAACAAACTCAAATTTCACCGACCGACTAACCTAATTCAACTCCATTTTGCCTCGTGTGCCACGAAAAAGTTAAGTCAACAAGTTTACGCTATTTGTACCCTTATTGTGACATAGTAGAGTAAGACGCACGTAGGAAAATATCGTAAAAACTGGGCCAAACTATTCAACCTGACTTCCACGACGCACTACTCGAAGCATATTGAATAGTCAGAAAAAAAGTGAAGTCCCCACTCTTTAAGGTTTGAGATACGTTTTTACCAACGAGATTACCGGTTTGGTGACAAACATTTTAACACGAAATGATTAAAGTCTTTTGAAAATTTTTAATCGGGTGGATCATATTTTTTCTACTGTACTATTTTTGTTATCAAGATTTTTGTTACCAGATCTCAGTTTTTTCCTATTTCACCCGTTTTTACCATTCTTTTACAACATTTTTAAGCGTGTCACAAAAAAACTTACAAAACTTGCCTTGCTAAGTTTGCTACATAAGGAATAAACTTGTTGTTTTTGTCACTTTGTATTATTCCCGTGGCAGAATTAAATTGAATTAAATGGAGAAACAAGTGAATTTTGATCGTTGTCCTATTTTTCCACTGGGAACAATTCCCCCTTTTGTCCCACGCCACGTATGAATTTCTTGTTTTCGAGGGGATTGTTATGTAAAATGAAAAAAATAAAAAAGTGGATCCTGCCAGTAACATAAATTCGTGTCGTGTTCCTACTTCTATATGAATGTTATGCAATTTTATGGCGAAAAAAAGACTTTTATCTGACTGTCCAGTTTCGCCAATCCCGTTATCTAATGCTAAGTTATTAAGTTACGAAAAATGGTAAACTTTACCAGCAAATTTTATTCCAGTGTAAATATTCGGATTGCAAAATTTTCAGTGCGTGCAAACCGTAGAAAATCCGAAAAAGTTGTTCTTATGTTTTTTTTGAAGATTTTGTTGAAAATTGTAGCACATCTTTGGATTCTATTTAGTCATAAGATTTTTATAAAATTTAGTTATCGTCGCTTAATTGTGGCACAGGTTTTTTTTTCAAACTTTAAAACTCAAAAATAATTTTTAAGCCATTTTTCAAAATTTTGAAAATTCAAAAAATCTATAACAATGCACCCCGTTCTCTTGCATACTTCGACCCAGCTTAAACTCAAACGTGTGGTTGGACACGTGGAGAAAGCAGGTCTTAAATTGCGTATCACTCTCGCAAATCAAAATGTCGCGTTGCTTTCCTATTAGAACCGTGCAAAAAAATGATGAAGGCAATAAGAGCGGGAAAATGGGGACGATTTTATACAGCGCGTCCCTTCCTCGCAAACTTAATGGCTTTTTCGGTCCCACTTTATATAATCGTGAAACCCTAAAAAATACAGGAATGCAAATTCCGCGATAAAGTAACAGGTGTATAAGTGTCAAAATTGGTAATAAAACAACTAACCTAGACCCACTTTTATTAAAATAATTATAAAAACATGGACAAACTAAATTCACTGGATGATTTTTTAAGTTACTTTTCATCTTTTTAGGGGATGAAATGTCTCTTGTGATCTGTGTTAGTTAAGTTTACGATAATTTCGTAACCTTCTCTTTGTAATCTGTGCAGATGTGAATTTAAACATGAGCCGCGTAAAGAGATTTGCAATGTTGTCTTTAATTACAATTTTATGATAAAATATTACCAGGGTTGTTACCATGAAATTAACAAAAAAAGAACTTGGTCCCCAATTTCTAAGAGTGGTGAATTCTGGTCACAATAAACGTCCTATATCATCGGAACGATGGGAGGATGAAGAAGTGAAAGTGTAGCGGGGCAGACAAGAATTGGTGCTGGAGTCATAAAATAGATTACCATTGTAAAATTTTATGCTGTAACTGTTCCAAAAGTGGTCAAACGAAAATAGATGGATGGGTGGACGGAGAAATCACTTTGTTAGAAATTTCGTGGTTGGAGAAAGCAACTTTCTTTCGTAACTTATTGTGTTAAGAACAAGTGATACGCAGTTCTTGTGGCTGCCGGATAGTTACATGAACGGACATGTGGCGCAATAATTGATAGTTTCAAAATTTGTTGTAATATTTCACAGGCTGGGAATTCTGGGGAGGCAAAGAAATTCAAGACCAACATAAATACCAAAATAAATGTTCACAAATTTCATGTCGGCCCATATTTTGTGCTCATACCTTTATTTTCATATTTACATAGTAAACATCCTTAAAAAATATTTACGGCGCATTAGGCCGAGGAAATTTCGCCTTTACGCGAACAGCATGTGTTCAGGGTAATACTTGGTTTTTGTATGCTTTTAATAAATTTACCAAACCTACAAAAATTGTTTGGTCGAAAATTGGGATTTTTGTTATAAATTTTATCCATAAAATTTACTTGTTTTTACTTGCAAAAATTACTTAATAAACTAATTACTAAATTAGTCG